TCCCCCCACAAGCGCCCATGCGCCATGTGCCCGGGGCCAAGCCAGCCCCGAGCACCTGGCGGGCGCATTGAAATGCCCCCGCGGGCGCCATGGCACCCGCGGGCACCGTGTTGGGGACCACTGCCTTAGATCTTCTTGCTGCTTCACAGGGATTCTGCAGTAGATCCCACTAAGATTTTTGCTCCTCATCTACTTGTAAAAATGTTATTGTGCTCTGTATATAAAATGTGTGCATCTGCATGGCTGGCTGGCTAAGAGTTTGTGTGTTCAAGAAGTCCTCTAAAACTATAAAAGCCAGGGCCATGGAATTTGGCAGAATTAGGAGAACATAAATTGTGAGGCTTCAGTCAAATTCCAACTTGGACAATTACATTGCCTACTATCTAAATTCTCCTCGCGGTTTTGATTGAAGGTTATATGTCACCTTCTGTTCTAGGACGGCACATCAAAAAGCCAGCATGTTTCACCCAAGAGGTAGATGCACTGATTGCTTTATATAGTTTGTGTAGTATTTGGTGGTAGGTGAAGTTATTCATATATGTTCAAATACTATGTAAAGAAATTTGGGATGAACTTATCTATTATTAATTATGAGTAAAAGTACTCAATTAAAAAAACACATTGATCCCTGCATGTGACATTACCCAGTCTGGACTATTGAACAGCTGTGTCCCCTCAGTTCTCCAGCCTACAGTGCCTTTTATACTGCTTCACTGAGATTGTAACCCCTCCCTTCTTCTTTTGCACAACTTCCAGCATGTCAGTGACTCTCAGCTATACTGTCTGAATGCCCTGGCCAGACCCTCTTGAATTACACTGCAGAGCAACACCAGCAAATTCCCAGTCCCAAACTTCCATCAGAAATCTGTGTCTTATCTTGCCTGGCCCTCTCTTGGAACACAGAAGCTGTAATATAAAGTCCATAATTTTATTAACTGTTATCCCAAATGAAGTTTCTCAAACACTTCAATCCAATACACAGGTTTCGCTAAAACAATAAAACAGGTTTATTAACTACCGAAAAATATTTTATGTGATTATTACATGACTTAACCAGCATTGCCAAGGACCAAGTCCGGCCTGGGGGGACGGGGGGAGGGTGGCGTTGCCTTGGTCTGGCCTGGGGAGAGGGAGTGGGGCCTGCACAGACTGCACGCTGGCTTCTCCCTGGGGCTGGCCTAGGGTAGGTGGGGGTGCTGCACAGGCTGCCTGTCAGCTTCTCCCCATGGCTGGGTGGGGAGGTGAAAAGCACAGGCCATCTGCTGGCTACTTCCTAGGGCTAGCTGGGGGCAGCAGGGTATGTTCAGCACAGTGGGCAACTGCTCCCAGGGTGCAGCACAGGCCATGCAGCTGGCCAGCGACTGCTCTCTGGGACTGGGGTGCTTGTTGCCCCACCCCCGTGGTTATTCATGAGCATAACTGTCTCCACTATCACACCCCTTCCTTTTCATGTGACGCAAAACAATCGAATTCCAGGTACATCCCATTGTCCTGACACAACCAACCCCTGACCTTGCTTCAAGTTGAATTTATTTATCTTGTTAATTAGGCATGAGTAGCATTTCATCTTTTATTTTCTTGTAATTCTGACGTGTATGGCTTATTATTTATCTACTATATTTTGAGAGTGTTTGTGTGTCCATCTGTCTGTGAGGCTGTTTGTTCAATGATTCCTCCTAAACGGTCAGAGCGAGGACCCCCAAATTTGGAATGCAGCTTCCTCACATCATAACTTAAAGCAAGGTCAGGATTTGGTTGTGCCAGGACAATGAGCTGTGCCTGCAATTTGATTGTTTCTCATAAAATGAGAAGGCCGGTGTCTGGCAGGAGGGACAGTTATACTGTAGAATGCCCACAGGGGCCAGAGATGGGGCCTGGGACAGCTATAACCCCATTTAACCAGCAGAGGTGGAGAAAGGGACAGCTATTTCCTATATATTGCAGTTTGTTTGTGTGTTTGTCTGTCTGTCCACCAGCCAGAGACTTGGACAGACACATCTCACCTGGCCCTAAGCTGCTGTGGTGAGAAAAGGCTGGCATAGTCCTCTTTCCACAGGGCAGCCTGCACACTGCACCCCTCCATCTTCAGTCCCACCCCAGAGCAATGATTTAAATGAAGAAAAACAGAACTTATTTGAGTTAAGGACATGAGCCACACCAGATAAATCTTCTAGTAATAAAATAAGATGACAGTTTCATAAATGGCCTCCTTCTATAAGAATAACAACTGTTTTTCCTACGTAACTGTTGGTTCTTAGTGATTAGCCTAATATTTCTATAGTATCCACTTCATGTAAACGGTCTGTGTGCCTTTGCAAAGTGTGAGGAAAGAGATGAACGTACTTTAATAAAGCTTTATGATATTATGTACTTGAGTTCTGTGACTCCACAAACCTTTAAACTAGGGGTGGGAAACCTCAGGCCAACCTCCAGCGTGCCTGGATCTGGCCCCAAGGCTCAGGATCCTCCTCCCCCCCAGTATTGGGGAGCCTACAATGGGGCGCCATCCCACCCTTGGCTGGAGCACACAAAATGTATTAGCTTGGCCCCCCAGGCTCTGGTGTGCTAGGAGTAAGACATTCCCCTTCTCAGTTGGGGGCCACATCAGTGAGGGTATGTTTTGGGGTTTTTGCTTCTCACTTGTATGCAGCTCTCGACTGATTTTTCTGTAGGTCAGTGGCCCTCAACCCAAGAAAGGTTCTCCACTCCTGCACTAAACTAAGAGATTAACTAGCACTGGCTTTCACTACGAGCTTTGCAGTCAGACGACTATATTTGTTGAAAATGTTAAATAGTCCCTTCATTCTGCACTTACATCATGCAGTAGCTTATGTTTCTGTGATGCACATCAAATTTCCCTTCTTCAGAAAAATGTTTCAATTCCCACAGTCCACAAACTTCACAAATTTAGTCCCCAAAAGTATCTTTTAAGGCATCTGGCCTGCCAAAGGTTAATTGCTTATCCTGCTCACTGAGGCTTGCAGTTCCTGTGTCCGCCTCGCTCCTTGTCTGGTGTGTTGACACCGATGGCACTCTCTTGGGCCCATAGTGAATTGACAAAAGCTGGAAATCTTTTGGTTGCTGTCACTGTAGGTCTCCAGCTGGCATCAGGCACTTCAATCTGTTATTTTCAGACAAATCTTTAACTTTAATAACAACTTTCTTAAGCTTAAAGCCGCCTTACCCATAAACCTGAGTGCATAGACTTACTAACATTTTCATTCCTGGTTCACATATACTTCAGTGTCACGGTATGTGCACTGAGCATGTGGACTGAGCTTTGAATTTTTGTTAGCACAAGACTTTTTCTTAAACTTTAACCCCCTAGTTCCCTTTTTTTGGGCTCAAAAATAGGCAGTCACAGTTTTGTGGAATATTTGCACAGAAGCTGAAGCTCAGTTAGATAGGTTTCCTCTTCCCTTTTGGATTCCTGCAGTATTTTCTTGTCTCCAAAAACAACCTGAAGATTCTCTGAGTGCTTTGATGAAACTCCCTATGACCATTCAATTTATATATCAGTATATCCCTGCTGCACTTAATACAGCAGTAATTGTTAAACACAGACAATCATCTGAGGAAGTGGGGTTTGCCCACAAAAAGCTCAGGAGAGAGAGAGAGAGTGTGTGTGTGCGCGCGCATTTATATTTTTTATTAGTCTTTAAGGTGCTACAGGACTACCTGATTTTCTTAAGGTTACATACTAACATGGCTACCCCTCTAAGACAGTCAAACACAGAGTACGAAAACATTCTTTTCCGCTCAGCTTTTAAACTTGTGATGTTCAACCAGTCCTGAATGTCAAACTAGCCACACTCAACCAGCCAAATAGCTGCTAGTGTGTTAGACACCATGGTCTTAAACAGTTGCCCAATCTTTTTTTTTTTCATCTTTACATACAGTTTGTAGACTAAATTAATTCAACAGTCATTAGTTAACCAGCACTGTAAAGGTTTTTTTCTATAATGAGTGACGGTTATGGCTAAGCTCACATTACTTAACACATATGTGAATAAGGCTTTCCTTGTAGAAAAAAATCCTCCAATAAATCCACCAACGTGCTTTCTGCTATAGCTAATATAGTGTTGTTCTCTTTTGAATACAGGAAGAACTCGCCATTCACGGTGGATGCATTTCCACATCCACCGTGAATGGTGAAATTATTGAATGGACAATCTATTTTAGTGGAAAAAGGCTCTGGGTCTTATTAACAATCACTTCAGCCATACAATCCACTGTTTTCACGCCCATTCTGCTCTGGGGGCTTATAGCAAATTCCTGTAATAATTTTGCTTCTTGTTCTGTTTTATTAGTTTACTTGCGAGCTTGTTGTAAAAGGTGCTAGTTCATGTCAAAGAGCTGGTTCAGCCTGAGCAGCAACAGTGCAAGTCAATCATTTACTGCCTAGATGAGAGAGGATTTGTGTCCATTTGCATCCATTCTTCATTGTGGAGGCTTCCTGCATGGACCTAAACGAACAAGAGGTGTGATACTGATTCATGGGGTGTGTGGAAACTAGACTGATGTCACTGACTCACTTTGGAAACGTAGCCAAGCACCAAGGACATCTTTGTGCACCCCATTGTGTCAAATATCATAATTAATAAATTACAGTTGTTACAGCTAACCTGGAGCAAAGTCATAGTAAGATGATGTAGCGTGGACTGCTGGGCCAGTCAGTTTATTCTCCAGTGTGAAAATGCCAGTACAGCACAAAATACTGAGTAAAGGAAAAATGTAGTTCTTCTGGGCGAGTGTTGTTAGCCAAATGCAGGGGAAGGGCTCATCATGAGGACATGTTCTGTGAAGTGATGTTTGTGAACTATCAGTGACACATCACAGCTGCAATGGTAGGTCCGGGAGACTGGAAGAAAGTGTGCCCAAGGATGGAGTGAAACATTTAGAGAGAACTCAGCGATTAGCCAAACCAGGGAAGGGGTTGAGTCTCCTTCCGAGCATGAAGAATTCTGGGTGTATAATGCTATTGCTGTAGTTTGGTGGCATTTTACAGCCACCTTGCTCAGATATAAATGATGGCACAAACTGCAAACCAGTGGAGAATCAGTTTCTAGAACTTTTCAGATTGGATTTCTACACTGCAGAGTTTTTGCACAAGAAGCTTTTTGTGGAATAGTTCTTGCGCAAAAACTTCTTGCGCAAAAGCGTGTCCAGACCTCAAAGCTCATTGAAAAAGTGATGTGCTTTTGCGCAAGAGAGTGTCCACGCTGCACAGACACTCTTGCACAAGAAAGCTCTGATTGCCATTCATAGAATGACCACCAGAGCACCTGTGCTTTTTCCGATAGGGGTTTCTTGTGCAAAAACCCTTCCGGAACATCCACACCTGCCTTTTTGCACAAGAGTTGTAGAGCAAAAAGGAGTTCTTCCTCATGGGGAGAGGAATAACTGTACTGCAAAAGCCCTCTGGGCTGTCGTTTTTTTTGCGCTAAAACGTGCTTGAGGTGTGGATACTACCTTGTAGTGTAGACATAGCCATTCTGTTTAGAAAGAGGAGATAGACTTAGCCAGCATCTTCTCATATACTGTGTCAACAATTGCATATATGCAGTAGAATGCATCAGAAAAAAGTCACATTAATTGTGAATGCAATGAAAAAATGGATAGCATTACTGATAATTACATCACACATATTTAGTTTGTTCTTAATGTACCTAAAAAACTCCAGGAGTAAGGACAATATTATTTATTATTATTTTGGCTGCAGGTAGCTTAAAATTCCAGAGTAACATCTGATACCCATGATCCTTGTATGCTTTAGTAATTGTGTGCAATTAAATGGTCACATCTGGAATTGAGCCCAGGTCTTATTCTGTCTGCTAAGCAAACATTCCTCAACCAAATGAGTTCTCACATCAGTGGGAATTTTGTTTTCCCAGTTACTCATGTAATTTGCCATGTGAACTGATGCGTGTAAAGCACTGAAGTTAAAACAGGTCATCTAAAATAAGTGCTCTTCTCTTCTCTCCAGTTACCGGCTAAGACAGAAGTTGGTCCAGCTTTTTAGTGCTAAGCGGCAATGCAAAGAAGAAGACGACAAATGGAGACAAGAGACAGCTGCCTTTTTCATCCAGGTTGCGTGGAAAAAACATCTGAACCATGGCCTTCTGAAATCAGCGCCTTCATATAAAAACCTAAAATCTATAAATAAAAGCAACTCCGCCTTAAAAACTAGCAAGCAATCCATCCTTAAGCAGATATACGGTAATTGTCTTGTGGTGGCTGCAATTTAAAATTTCAGAATTTAAGCACTGCTTTGCTGATGCATCAGAGTTAGAAGTCCATTTTTTATACATAGATAAATCCAAAGTATTGTGAGGAGGGGATGTTTGGATGCTTTTAAGGTTAAAAAATAGGGTTTAGAAATGATTTGCATCTAAAACAGCATGGGTCACTGCATATCATTACTCCAGAACAGGTGTCCCTCAGCCAACCAGACAGCTCCCTATATTTATACTTTATTAGCCCTGCTCACGAGAGAATGCAGGAATGGACTGAGCAGTTGCATTTGACATGTGGGATCAGTGAACAACTTGGCTGTTTAATTTTTGAAAATAAGACAAACTTTTTACAGTTTTATTTTTTAAATTTGAATTTGCCTTGCTAAGGAAGTGTCTTTTGTAACTGAGGTTTAACTTCATGTAGTTGTTCTGAGACCACTGAATTTTTTTACTTAAACTATTTTTACTCCACCTCTCTATTTAAAATATTGGAGGCGGCTTACAACATTTTTTTAAAACAAATAAAAAAAAGTATATAAAGTAAAATACAAGACCCCTGAATGTATGACTTAGAATCTGACAGAGTAGTGGAGAAAAAGTTTTTTTTAATGACCTTCAGTACTATTCTGATTTTGAATGTAACGATTGGGGGGTGAAATGCTGGCTATGCGTAATTTAAAAATGAGCAGGTAAATGCTATCTAACACTGAATTGGTGGTAATTCAGCCAAACAATAGGGAAAACTAAAAATGTGGTTAAATAAACATATTTACTTTTTCTGTTGAAACTACAAATTTTACCCAGAATTAGTTGAAATTCTATTATGGATCATGTTAACAATGTTCATCATAAGTATTTTATGAGAGTCTTTATGGTAATCTTAAGACAAGGCTGCAGTTGCCAGTGAAATGGCCTATACCTATATCTAACCACAGCTGTGCGTGAATTTGTAAAAATGTGCTCATACTTGTTTTTTAAAGGGCACTCCCAAGAAGGAAAAGTTTGCCATCCAGCAAGACCTTCTTCAAAGCATAAACTTTCTGATGTGCACATGATCTCAGGTAAGGGTTAAGACCTTAGAGCAGTGTTTCCCAAATGGTGTTCTGTGGAACCCCGGGGTCCCCCAAAGTGAAAATAGGGGTTCTGAAAGAAAATTCCATTACAATAACATTTTATGATTTAAAAAAATAAATATTATGTGATTTTTTTTAAATATGTGCAATTAAACTAAATGTTGAGCTCATGACCTTGTTTAGCATTTGTTTATTATTATCCTTACTTACGTGTGATCTACTTTTTCAGCTCCATATAGTAGACTGCTATTAGGGATTCCGCAAAATTCTTTTGAGTTTAAAAGGGTTCTATGGCCAAATAAAATTGGGAAACACTGCCTTAGAGAATCTTTTGAAGCTTTTCTGGAATTTAAAATATTATATTTAGGTTTGTTTCCCTAAGTTTCTGTTCATACTCAAGTCATCTAAAATTATAATAATAAAACCAAAAAACAAGGTAATCAAGTGAACATACAGGCTAAGATATCATTGTGCTATCACTTGTAGAGCTGGTGTTCTGCATTCTCCACTCCTTTTGGATTTTTGAGTATTTTAATTTTCTCTTTGATATGAATTACAAGATCTGGTGAAAGAAATGTCAATAGGAAAAATCCTATTATATGATAGCACTGTACAAAGGATTGACACTAAACTCACCTGTGCACAAATTCATGTATACAAATGCTTACATAAATATAAATGAGACAAGTTGTGCGTATTTTTTTGTGGACACAGAGACCACATTTGATTATCCTGCCCAGACACAAGCTGGCTTGCAGGTTAAACCTTTTTTGAGATGTCTCATCTCTGAACCAATTCCTAGTGAGGCTTAGATAGTACCTTCCTGCAGAATATTTTTAAAATCTCTGTCCCTGTAATGTTATATAGTTGAAGGGACATGTTAGTGGGTTGTGGAGCAACAGTTACCGGTAGTGCAGGTGAAAAGCAGGGATGAGGAACCTTAGGCCCGGGAGTGACCATTGCCTTGCCTGGATCGGACCCCTGAGGTTCAGGCCTCTCCCCCTCCCCCCCCCAGCATCGGGGCACCCACGCTGGTACTCCAGCTCCCCCTCCCCCCCGCGGGCTGGAGCACATAAAATCTACTCGGCTTCCCTCCCCCCCCAGCTCTGGTGTCCAAGGGGAGTGTGGGGCCACAGTGAGGGTTTTCCCCCCCCTGCTTCTCCCGCATGTGCAGTCCCTGACAGATTTGTCTGAGTCTCATTGGCCCCTGACCCAAAAAATGTTCCCCAACCCCAGTGAAAAGACTGAGGAATAAAACTTTCTAATACAGGCAGTCCCCGGGTTACGTACAAGATAGGGACTGCAGGTTTGTTCTTAAGTTGAATTTGCATGTAAGTCGGAACTGGTACATATTGTAGGGGAAACTCTAGCCAAACATTTCACCAGAGCTCAGTTTTATTCTCCCACACCTCACTTCCCTCAGTCCTTTATTCTCAAGCTAAGGTGTCTGCTGAGAAAAGCCACTCTGCGTCTCCCTGGTCTGCTGGGGGAGGGGGGGGCGCTAGCTTCGCGTCTCCCTGGTCTGCTGGGGGAGGGGGGGGCGCTAGCTTCGCGTCTCCCTGGTCTGCTGGGGGGGAAGCAGCTAGTGCAGAGTTGCCTCACCCCGTTTGTAAGTAGGGATCCGATGTAAGTCGGATCCATGTAACCCAGGGACTGCCTGTACTGAGTCAGTCACACTCTTGTAGCAAGTACGTTATTGGTGAACATACTGGCACACTAAAGGCAGCTTTCTGCTTTCAGGCTCACAGCATAGCCACAGTATTACTAAGAACTGATTACTACACTCCTCACTGGGGATGCTGGCTGCTTGGCCCTTTTTGATTGACATACTCTTAATGGGCTGTAGCTAAGAAACCATACACTCTGCGCACATACATGTTGTGGTTAGATTTAGTTTCTCAAAAGTGTTTGGGAGTTATTGATGGCTTGCAGGGGTGGGAGTGGGATTTTTCTTTATTTTTCGTTTTTAATTCCTGTTTTCCTTCCTATTGTCCTCCTACTGCCGAGCTACCATGCCTACCCCCTCCTCTGCTTTTCTCACCCTTATTCCATGCTGCAAAGTGCTGGGTAAAAATTGGATGATCTTCCTCCCTGAAGCTGAGTGCTAAGCACATTCACCTCATTTGCAAATTGGAGTGATAAAAACAAGTTGTTCTTTTTACTCCTGTTATTTCCTGCGAATCCAGCACAGTTCACAAAACGAGCTGGATTCTGTTTCTCCTGTAGCATCAGCTACAGAATTGTCATGTTCTAATTAGTTACACCTGTGCAGAGCCACTGCTGGCAAGAGTTATTCCAGATGGGTGATGGAGGATAGCGACTGAACGCTGGACCAGCACACATGTAACAATCTGTAACCTGCAGTAGTGCAAAAGCCAGAAAGAATCCAACTTGACTTAGATCCTATTTGTTACTCATTTGTATTGCAGTAGAGTCTAGGGTTTCTTTTTGTTAGGCCCTGGATTATGGCTGCCCCAAATTGCTTACCATTTAAGTAGATAAAACACATTTGATCTGGGGCTCACAGCACCCACAATGTCTTTGCTAGAATTGCTTTGCAGAGTGGAACTCCACTTAAAAGGCTAAAATGTGAGCCTTAAAACCCCTTTCACTTCAGCTTCTTCTGCATGTGGGAGTAGCCTTGCTCCATGCAGCATTCAAGGCAACAGGACAGTTGAGGGTAGGTTGAGATATGAAAGGGAAATGGCCCTTTCCCCACGTACTGGGATGCCCATTACAAAGGGCTAGCACTTTCCACTACAGTCACAGTGTTGGGAGCTATTCAGCCTTTCCAGTTTAGTTCCCTTAAGTAGCCCCGACCTGCTGCTGAAAGGCATCCAGGACTCAGGAAGAACACCAGGCACGTGAAGGGCCCCTGCTCGTTTAAGAGTTGTACCCTGGACATTGTAACACGGTGGCTGTGTCTAGACAGGCCAGTTTTTCTGGAAAATCAGCCACTTTTCCGGAAAAACTTGCCAGCTGTCTACACTGGCCGCTTTAATTCCCGCAAAAGCACTGACTTCCTACTGTAAGAAATCAGTGCTTCTTGCGGAAATACTATGCTGCTCCCGTTCGGGCAAAAGTGTAGGATTGCTCTCTGCAGAACTGTACCCTCTGTGGGAGAGGGTAATTCCTATTCCTGTTCATTCCGTCTTTGGCCTTCCCACTAAAGGATGCCAAGTTGATATGGACACATGAAATGAACTAAGATGAGGTGACTTCTGTTTTATTCGTTGCTGCCAAAAGCTTTCTGAATGACTTTGGGCAAGTCACTGCGTCAGTGTGTGCCTCAGTTTCCATACCTGCAAAATGGGGTCAGTGATACTGGCCTACTTTGTAAAATATCATGTATTAGGTACGTGTTAAAGCTGTAGATCTCACTGCTACCAGAAGCAATGCTGACATTTCTGGGTGTCACTAATGAAATCTTATCTCTGTTCTATGCACAAAATGCAGTGTGTAGGTCTGGTTTCCACAGCTGAGAAAAGATTTTAGATAAATGAGAGCTAAATACCTGTATCTGCAACCAAAATGCCATCATGCCAGGAGGGTAGGACATGAGGATAGAGAAAAAGGAACCAACCTATATAGTCCAAATGAGCAGAATTTGTAATTAGCTTCAAGATCACACAGGAAAAGAATTTCATCCTAAGAGATGGCAGGTCAGTAGCAATGGCTAAAATGCTGAGAATGTAATTGAGAATAAATTCTCAAAAAGCTTAATCTGTGAATAGTGGAACAGAGTAAGAGGCAAGTATTAAAAAACACTATTCTGCATTTATTCAGCATCTGCTTAGACAAATGGTAGCAGGGGTGATGCAATCATGTTTTCCAAAATCAGAGGGTCATTTTGAATGGCCAAAGTGGTCCTTTCTAGTCATAATAGCTGCAATTCAACTAGCAGACCATGCATAGTTAAAAAGCTGTCTCCCTGATTTTAAATGTTTGCTAATTTTCTTAAATTATTGTCCTAACATCAGATTCTTTTCTTGATGCTCTCTGATATGTTTACAGAACTCTCTTGGATTATGGAAAACTCTTACAGCAGCACTGTCCTTGAATTTTAGTTCATAATGATAGAAAAGTTTGTGTCACTAAACAGACAAACAGGCTCTATTTAAGACAATACCCCTGTTCATTCTTAATATAGACTAGAAAACTACAGCAGACAGGTGCCTTACACCTTTGCATACAGATTTATGGAACTGCTGAAGACAGATTTTAAAACAAGTGTTTTGCGTAGTTCTTTGGTTCAGGGACAACAAATCTCTGTGCTCTTGTCTTTTAATGAAATAGCGAGGCTATTTGCAGTGTTGAGTAGACTTTACCTTTCATAAGTTGGTGACGAGTAGGATAGTGATAGGAACTTTGCCCAGTGCCTGCAGAACAGTACCTACTTTCATTCACCTAATAGGAGCTAAGGGAACTTTAGCCCTGTCTTAAAGACAATAACGTGTTTTCCATCTGATGCCCTTCGAGCATGACAACATTAAGTTTGTTGGAAAAGTTCAGAGCTGTCAGTGGCTAATGCCAGAAACAGTATTTTTGACGTAGGTGTCTAGAGTAGGTCAAAATGGACTCAAGTTTGATTCATCTCACTGAGAAGGGTACAGCTGGGAAGGAGAAGAATATCGACGCTAACAACATTCTTGTGGCTTGTGAAAAATCTGCCAACTGGAGATTAGCCCCAAACTAGTTTAAGACACTCACTGGTATATGCAGCCTGAAAGTTTTGAGATAGGGACAAAAAAAAAAGATATTGATAGGAGGCAGCTTTCAGGCTCAGGTGTGCTACAGAAACAAAGGCCCTGGAAACAAGCACTACCAGAAAACCATAGCAAAGGATAAAAACTGAATTTGGTGGATGTTTTCAAACAACTATTTTAATTCATGGGAAAGGGAAGAGAAAGCAGGCTTCCTCTCCCACCATATGTACCCATGCTTGACAGAAAACTGCAACCACAAAGTACTTGTTTAAAATACCTGATTATACATGGATGTCTGTATCACACTATTGTGCACTTTTATTTTTTACCTAGTTTGCAACATGTAAACAACTTCCCTGCCACAAGATGATGCAAAGAGTAAGACGTTGTTTGTCAGCTATATAATATTTTGTACATGTATTATCAAAATGACCAGGGATTGGAAGGTTTGGAATTCCCAGAATGTAAACAAGCTCTGCAAGAGTAAAGGTGGATTCCCTCTGGGAAATTCAAAACCAAGTCTAGAACAGTCATGTGCACACTGCAGGAAGTTCTTGTTTTTAAATGAAAGGTTTATAAATCATCAAGCTCTCACTAACAGTGTTACCCAAAAGACCTTGCTGTTTCCTGGGCAAATTCAACAAATCAGCATCATGTGGCTGTTACCTGTAAATATTTCAATAATTAGCTAGATTAAAGTATGCCAAAGAGATGTAGGTTAAGTCATTTAAGTACTTTTGATAATTCCATTTACCATAGACTCCAACTGCATAGTTAAGATTGGTTTTCTTTGTTTGTGGCATGCTGATGAAACTTTGGACAGCTCTATTACATATGGCCTTTTTTACCTAAGAAAGTATTGAATTATGAAGACCTGAAGGGTAGGGATCTACAGAAGACTGCTGCTTTCCTTAAAAAATAAAAAAAAAATAAAAAAAAATCAATATTATCCTATAGAAATAATTAACTTTTTTTTTTCCAGTAAGCAACCTGCAGTATGTTAATCTGTTGGAACCTGAAGGTAAACTGAAGCAGTTTTCATACAACATGAGACCAACCACTGCTGCAAAGTCAAAAAACAAAAGACCCACGTATTAAGCAAAGCTGAGAAGTAATTCCAAGGAACCTGGGAATTTAAAGAATGTATGAATCTTTTTTGTAATTTAAAAAAGTATACAAAATATTAATCTAACAAAGATATATGCCATTATTGCATTATATATGCCAAAAAAGACTTCCAGGAAGTTGAATTTATTTTGTGTACATATGAAATTTAGAATTAAGTAATTTATTTACTGACAGTAAATTGTGTAAAGTGAAAAAATGTTAAAATTATCAAAATTATTGGTTTTTTGAAAATGTTGTTAGCTCTCTGTTCAGCCAAATATGAAGTTTGAAAAAAACTTTTTGAAAAAAGATTTTTTCAGTATTTCCAAGTCAAATTTTCTCATCTCTTTCTTTCACAAAAATGTGGGAGCAATGACAGAAAATGCTAGAAAACTGCAATTTCCTGTGGGACTGAAATAATTGTTTTTCCAGGCTGTTTTAGTCTCACCCTTCATGCACACACAGCCAGTTAAGTAATGGGTAGAGTTATGGGTTACATTATTTTGGGGGGGGGGGAAATCTGTCTAATTTCACTCCTAGTTCAGAGTAACAAACTTTTAAATTTCTTATAAGAAGTTGGATCATTAATTGTACCTCAAAATCTACATCGAGCAGAAAGTATAGCCTCCATAAGTGCATCAGCTCAACTGCACTCCAGGATTGATTCTTCACCAAAGAGGAACAATGTGTTTGAACTCAGTGTTAATGGACTGGTAGAAATTATACGTGAAAGAAGGGTCCATGTTAAGTTTCTAAAGTGAAAGTCTGGCCTTACAGAAGGCAGTGGGGTCAGGATTTCACCATTTATCGCATATATTCACTACTTTCCCATCTCCCTTTAAAACAAAGGGAATTTGTTAGTGAAATATCCCTAATTGTAGATGTAAATGCATGCCATAGAGCTGCCACCACTTTTCAGTGATTCCTTACTGTGCATTCCAATAGGTGTGGGGGGGGCCACTGAGTACACAGTCAAACACTTTTCCCTTCGCAGTGTATTTTGGGTTGGGTCAGGTGTGGTGTCCCCTGGAGTGGTGCTTTGATGGTGGAGTAGATAGGACACAGGACACAGCCTCTCCACTACCCCTTCAGTTCCTTGTTACCATCAGTGATGGTCACTGGAGCTTCTTCATACTCTAGCTCAGGCGTGGTCAACCTGCAGCTCTACTCTCTCCCCTCCCCTCCCCATCAGTGCAGTTCACGAAGCCGCCCCCAAAATGGCAGCCACGGACAGGAGCTTGCTGAGGCCAAAAAGCATTCTTAAAAGGCCAGTCATGGGGGTTTTTTTGGGGGGGTGTCCTTTTTTTTCGAGGAGGGGGCTCCTTTGTTTTGCCCTGGCTCTTCATCCGGAACTGGTTGGCCACCCCTGCTCTAGCTTAGCAAGTGCTTTCTCCATGGTACCCCACACATAGTTGTATATAATTCTACATTTAGTCTCTTGTATCTGTAACTGTAGTTAAGTTTAGTCAGCTTCCAGGGGGATTTCCCCATGTTTCCAGGTCCCCTAACCAGGGCATGCTGCTGCTGTCCCAGTGGCTTAAGTCCTGTGAGAGCTGCCTGAAGCCTATGCCCAAGGGCGATCTGCACTCTAAGTGCCTGTGAAAGGGCCATCAAATGGATTAAGTGTCCCAGTTGCAAAAGCTTCAGGCCCAGAACAGAAACAACAGGTCTCTCGCCTAAAGCTCCTGCTAATGGATGTAGTGCTTTGCCCCCAACCTCCACCAAGATCAGCAAGGGTGAGCAGAACATTAAGAAAGGAAGTGGTGCTAGTGCTCTCTCTCTCTCTCTCTCTCTCTCGAGGCATCTCAGCACCAAGGAGTCCCACACCACGGCCAAAGGAGGGTTTGAAAATTCACCACCATTCATACTCCCCAGTGCCGCATAAGAAAAAAAAGTGGACAGAGGCCGGTCCCCTGCCAAGCATCCACAAAAGAATCCTAGGGGGTGCACCTTAAGTCCAGGCACCTAAAGTCTGGGATGCAAATTCTGGCATCATCGACCCTGGTCCCACTAGGATGTTCATCAAATCCTGTGCTGGTGGAATCATCTGGTCTTGAGGACCCGCAGGAGAAGTTGAAACTGCCTTCCACACCTGACTTCTTCAAGGCTGTCCAAAGATTTCATTGCTATGAAAGCACATTTGCCAACACGGCATGTATGGGCACGAATGCCAACTCGGACACCAGCGCCAATGCAAACCTCGCCACTGCCATTCTTAGCAATCTTCATAGCATCGGGATGTTACAACTTGGTCAAGGATCCAGCCTCAACCTTGATGGCCTACTCCATGAGAGCAATGCCATCCTCAGCAGTGTTCCTCATGCAAGTCCCTATCCAGGACATATGTAGGGCAGTGACCCGGTCTTCCATCCACACGGCATCTCACTACATCCGCACCCAGCAGGCTAGAGATGATGCAGTCTTCAGCAGGGCAGTTCTGCAGTCAGTAGCCAGGTGTACTCCGACCCCTCCTCCAGAAAAACTGTTGGTGAGTCACCTGTTGGAATGCACATGAGCAATCACTGGAAGAACAGCTATCTACCTCTCGTAACTGTAGTTCTTTGAGATGTGTTGCTCATATCCATTCCAAATCCCACACACCTTCCCTCGGTTGGAGTACTTTAGGAAGAAGGAACAGAAGAGGTAGCAGCATTCTATATACTCCACCATCAAGGCACCACTCCAGGGGATCCCACAACCAACCCAATGGGTACTGTTAAGGGGAAACTTTCTGATGATCGTGCATTTAGCACATGCACACACCAACAGGAATGGACATGAGCAACACATCTTGAAGAACAATAGTTATGAAAGACAAGTAAGTTTTTTATTCCACTGATGTCAGATGGAATTATGCCATTGATTTCTCAAGTGAAACTAAAAGGCAGTCAAGGGAATCATTTCAGTGGACATGTTTTTAGGAGAAAAAATTATGTAACATATTCCTTTTATTTTGTCCTAAGCATTTTGTATTCTAGTACTTTGAAGTTATTGTTTACTACATTTCTATTTTCATATTCAATAAATGCCCAAAATATTGTAATAATAAGCAAAAACACTGCTCATGCTTTTTAAGGTGGAATTGCACAACAAAATCATTTAAATATTTGTTAATGTTTTTCTAAATAATGGAAAATGACTGAATACAAGAATCCAGTAAACTAAGGAGATGTTCTCCACATCACTATGTCAGTATTTAATATTTTCACTTCAGTAGCTGGGCTGGCCTCAGCAAATCGTCTCCTACCATCAACAGTTCCAAAACTACCTTCACTGCAGTGTTACTTTCTTGTTTCAAGACCAATATAATGAAGTACAAACAGATTTTATGAATTTTTTATTTAGGTTCCATTTTAAAAAAATGTATAACAAACATTGTTCAAACATTTTCCATTCAAAATTAAATGAAAGTAAATACTTTAAAGCAGATGTACAACGTTCATCTCATCAATATACTGAGCTAATAGAAGTGGGTCCCTGTGGATGCGTGGCAAGATACAAGTTGAAACAGTAATGGAGGTCTGTTAGCCATTGCTCTTGAACTTCACCACTCTTCAATGTCTGGAGGCAGAAAGGGAACAGGTTGAAAATTCCAAATGTGAACACACAGTACTACAGGTTGAGCCTTTCTAGTCCAAAACTTTCTGGTCCAGAAACATCTATCGCCTGGAATGATTTTAGTTAGCTGGAGGTCCACTTTTCATGGCCAAGTTTCCCCACAGTCCATAAAGTTTATTTACAGACACCAGTCATGGCTTTCAGCATTCTGTGCTGTTATTTAGCTCCAATTTACCTCCTGCATATTTTCTAAGAGCTCAGTAAGCAGTTAAAATGGTGGTGGTGTTGCTAGATAATATTGACTTCCTGTGGTCTGGAAAATTCTCTCATTTGGAACCAGTCAGGTCCCAAGGGTGCCGGACTAGAGAGGTTCAACCTGTACTCATGAAGCTTCAGTTTGTTAGCTTATTATTTTCAGTTAACCATAAATTCTATTACAAACGAGAAACTAAATACAGAAGAGCATTCATTTACACACCCAATTAATTCCTGAACTTCAAATAATGGCTTCCCCTTTTGTCCAGGAACAGCAACAGAGACAAAGCGCTCCAGTGAAATGATCTAAGTCTTCACTGCTTTTTACAAAATAAGCTGCAGATCATTTCTACAATATTATGAGTGTGTGAATTTATATACATGTGGTTCACTTGCAGTTATGTCAGAGTTTACCATAATGCAGTGTCTATGCTATTTTAATAACTTTTTTACGTCCAATTTAGAAATTTACAATGCATTTCTAAATTAATTTGTTGGTCATGTCTATAGGAAGGAGTTTAATAAAAATTCTCTCAGCAGGGCTATCACCAGATGAACCACTGGGAACTCTAGGGTAGACAATACTCCAGCATGCCAGATATGTCACAAGAAAGTGTAACACCACAGCCACTGGTCAAGCAGTTTGAATACCATGGTGTTAAACACCAGAAGCAAAGTCTGTTGTCTTCTCTCTGCAGAAAATGGCAGAGCTCTTGTAGGGCACATCTACTCTTATTGGGTGCTGTAAGTAACACTGCAAGCCAGCTGGCATGGGTATATAAAGCAGTGTAGATGGAGACACACGGTTTAGACCAGAAGAGAAGAATTCTCTACATGCATAGGTATATACTCTACACTGCTTACTATATGTCCAAGTAGAGTCTCCCATACCTCAGGGAGGGCACTAGCAGCTCTCTGAAGCTGTCAGAGCCTCTCTCTGCTCCTGGAGCCTTGCATGGCCACCTGTAGCTATACACTGCAGGGACAAGTATGCAACCTGTTTTCACAGTTGTGTTTAGCTACATGTGTAGTGCCTGTACTCTACAAGCCACCTTAAGTGAAGCTACAGCCTTATTGCCTCTTGTGAACATGCTAGGCCTGTGGGAATGCACAGGCTGTGGCTTTTCTAAGAGCCACCTACTGAAATCTAAAAAAGCTTTACTTTACTTTAAAGTAAAAGGACATGCTAACCCACTCCAATCAAAACAAGTAACCCATCTGAGACACCTGTTTTTCAGATCAACAGTCTCCCAAAAAGTAGAGTGATAGTGCTTAGAAATATTGGTTGCAGCCCACCCAGCAAACAGAAGGGCTGCACCTGTTATAACTGTCAGCCTGCACTCAGTGACAAATTATCAAGTTCCTTATTTCTGGCAAATCTCAAAAGTTTTACTGTTTTAGTGCAAACTCATAGATTGACCCTAGTTTGTCTCCTTCACTGTAGTTTCTTCTATGTCAAGTCATTGTGTATAATAAAAATAACCCACCTCAGAAGCATATTGCCACTCAATAGATTCTGGTGTCCAGGGCTCCTTTATTTGGCTATTGTTCTCCAGGGCTACTACTTTAGAGGTGATCTTCCCTGGCAGTGTAAGGGTTAGACACTAAGCAGAGAAACCTGCACAGCCTTCCTGATACTGTCTGATAGTGGCATACTGCCAGCTTTTACCCTGTATGTACATACACGCAACCCCTCTATTCTGTGGGCTACTCTCTCAAGGTACATAGAAGGCAGTTATGGATCAAAATTTGGACTCCACAAGCCACATTCTGGTTGCCCCTTTTTTGTACAGGATTTGAATTTGTGTACACACTTAGTTAGTGTTACTGAGGTTTAGTGTCACTGCTAGAATAAGATACGCTTCAAATCTTCTGAGGAAAAAGTTTCATACCATAATATCCTTGACAATCTGTTGCACAAGAAGTTCACTTGCCACCATGTGACTCCTGAGCTGTCCATGCTGCATTAGCAAACGCATCAACTGACCAATAACAGGCAATTCTTCCCGACAGACCCTGCTCACTTGAAGACTCTGCAGCATCACCCTCAACACTCGTGGCATGAGTGTGAGCACTGAAATACAGGATCCCCACAACATGTCCCTGGAGAGAGAACAGAGTTAGGAATTTTTCACACACACAGAAGCGTGCCCTAAACCCTTATGCTTGTCTCCAAAGGTGTCCGCATAGTTAAGATTGATAGATCTGATAGGCTGTTTCAACTATATACACAGGACAATTCATGGGGATGCAGTGAATGTACATGAGAGAGTATTAGAGAAATACAACACTATTCCACAAAGGTTACAATAGCAAGTAAAGGAGACTGTACATTTATATTCAATCTCAGACATTACTACTACTGAGGAAGCATTTGTGGTAACTTATGGTGTCAATTAGACACCTCTCCAAGACCTAGTAATTTACTGTCTGTGTTTAAAAGGCACAAGAAACGGGGAGATTAATGCCACAAGGCATTAATCAATCATAAAATAAAAACTGTGTCAGACCTAACTATTATAAATTCTAAAACTAAAAACCATTTGAATATTAGGACAATTGTTCTCTTTATTGTACAGTGGTTAACATAACATCTACCACAATCTCTCAATTACTTAGAGCAGTGTTTCCCAATTTTATTTGGCCGAGGAACCCTTTTCAGCTTTTCAGAATTTCAAGGAACTCCTAGGTTTGTCAAACAAACAAACAAAAAAAAGAAGGGGGGGGGGACCCACCAATGCATGAAAATCACATTCCTTCCCCAAAACCCTCACCCCCACCCCCCTTCCTTGAGGCCTCATCCACTCTGTTCCCATCCTCTCCATCACTTTCTATCCCTAGCCTAATATGCTCTCACTAGGTTGAGACAGGAGGTGTGGGGTGGGAATGAGGGATTTGGGTGTGGGAAGGGATGAGAAGTACAAGCTCTGGGAGGGAATTTGGATGCAGGAGAAGGGGATGTTGGCTCAGGGAGGGGGCTCCAGGCCCAGGAGTGTTGGGCTCAGGTGGAAGGTTGGGGGCCGAGCAAGCCATGGGCTTGTGGATGTGAGACTTTCCTTGCATGAGCAAAATGAATTTTGTGTTGAGCACCACTACTGAGTTCATGTGGCTCGTTTGGATGTGCCACTGTGGCACCCAAGTTATTAATAAATATCTTATAACCCTTTACCTTTTCTCTCTGCTGACATGTCTCCTCTCCTGGTGCCTGCTTCCTCCCAACTCCTCACTCTCCTCTGCTGTCCTGACTCCTGCCCTTCACACTGCCCTCAGCCCTCCTGAGACCTGCCCCCCTCCACCAGCACTTCTCTCCTCCCTGTGCCCACTCCTCCAGTATCCCCACTCTGATCATGTGAGCTACACCTCCTCATCCCCTCTCCTATTCCCCTGCAGGTGTCTGCTGTTCTGCTTCACCCCCAGAATCTCCTGGCACTTTCACCTTCTCACTCCTGCACCCTCCTGGTGCCTCCCCCATCCCTCACTGCCCCTACCTCTTTTGCCCTCTTTTTCCCTGATGCCCACCCCCTCACCACCCTCTGCCCCCGTTCTCCTCATACATGACCTGCTCCATCCCCACCTTCCTCATGCCCAAGCCTTCTCCCAGCACTTCCCCCTGCCCCCTCTAGCCCCCAATGCCCTTATCCTCTCCTCTCCCAGCATCACCCTGTCCCCCCTCCCACTGACGCCTCCCCTCCTGCCTTTTTCCTCATTGTCTGTACTTGGCCCCCTGGCATTTGTCTCTCTTCTACCCTGTGCTTTGGGTGCCTTCCCCTCTCCTCCCCCTCTGCACAAGCCCCTTCCTCTCCCAGCCCTTCCCCTTCCTCTACCATCCACTTTGCGGGGCTGGAGTCTGCGCTCAGTCCCCAGACTCTGAACCTGCAACTCAGCCACACGGAGCAATGCAGCACCCAGCAGTTTTAAAATCCTGGGCCGTGACATTTACATCACATCTGGGCGTCTCCCTGCCTACTAGTTTGAGCATGCTGCACAAGGCAGCAGCAGCCAGCAAGGGGGAGCTCAGTGAAGGTTGCGCACGGCAGGGACGGAACAGGGATGGGGTCAGGGGAGAGATGCTCTGGGGCCAGGGTGGAAGGATGCACGGGGGAGGCTGGGGCCTGCTCCAGTTCCAAATATTGGTGGAGCATGGGCACCATAAGCCCATACAACTCACTGCCCATGCCTCTCCTGGCTAGCCAGCTCTCTCTCTCTCTTTCAGAGGGGACGGGGGAGTGCCAGCTCCTCGCGGAACCCCTAGTTTTGCTTCGCGGAACCCCAGGGTTCCCCAGAGCACCAATTGGGAAACACTGACTTAGAGGACAAGCTATACGGACCTTGAAATCCAACCACTCCCAGACAGTAATTAAATAAGCAAAGGGAGTACTATAATAGTGATGGCTACATTAACAAGGCCAACCATCAACTCTCCAACACCACCTACTACAAAGAACTCAAAGATGACCCCACACCATAATTCACTCAGGAAATTAAGGATTCCAACACATCCTTCCCCAGACAGCTCCAAGAGAAATTCTACAACCTCAACCTCCCACAAACCCACCACACACATGAACAGTTTCCTCTAGGACACAACTTTCTCCAGAAACTGTAATACTATCTCCGAACACCACCCATGCTGTTGTCAATGTCACCTTCCAATTCACCAAGAACCCTCACAGTGACAGAATAGCTGCCTGTATATAACAATGAACTACCCTCATATCCACCCTGAATACATAACCTCATCCATTTCACTCTCAGCTATTACAACTTTACATTCAATAACAAGCACTTTATCCAAAACTAAGGAACAGACAGATACTAGAGATGTGAATGACTAGTCAACTATCTGATAAGCAAATGCTGATCATACTAGTTGACTATTCACTCTCCTCCATCCCTGCTGCCTCTATCAGAAAGAGGCATCAAGCGGGGTGGGGAGAGAAGAGGGTGCTTCAAAGCAGCAGTGCTGCATGGAGCCTGGGGCCAGACTGGGCCAGCTGGGGACTCCAGGCTGTACGCAGTATTTCAAAGTGGCAGTGCCGCGTGGAGTCTGGGTTTTGAAACGCCACATGCAGCCCAGAGCCAGCTGGGAGTCCCCTGCTGGCCCCGGGGCTGCACAAGGCATTTCAAAGCAACAACGCCATGTGGAGCCCGGGGTCAGTTGGGGGCCCCCACTGACCTGCACTCCATGCAGTGCTGCCACTTTGAAATGCTGCATGAAGCCTGATGCCTGGGGTCCCCACAGAGTTTCAAAGCAGCAGTGCCGCATAGAGTCCCCAGCTGATCCTGGGCTCCATGCAGTACTGCTGCTTTGAAATGCTGCGGGGAACATGGGACCAGTGGGGGACTCAAGCAGTCCCTGGCTGGCCTCGTGCTCTCCACAGCATTTCAAAGCAGCAGCGCCTCATGGAGTGTAGCAACAGCCCTGGGGCTGTTGTTACACTTCAAAGGCAGAGGCACCCTTAATGACTAATCAAATAGTCGATGCAAATTGTATCAACTACTCAATTAGCCAATTAATCTAAATTTAACATCCTTAATGGATAGTAGGATAGCTCCCCAGTGTGCCAACCTATTCATGAGCCACTTTAAGCATGGATTTCTGGACAAATGCATCAGAAAACCAGTAATATACCAGAAATACATTAATAATATCTTCATCCTCTGGAATGATAAGCTACACTCCCTCACAGATTTCCACCACACCTTTAACAAGGCTGCCCATTAATTTCTCTAACATTCCCACACCAGCCTCAACTTCCTGGACACCACAGTCAGCTTCAACAACATAACCTTTCACATAACTATACAAAAGCAATGCACAAATCAGCACACACACCTTCATAGATGCAATAACTACTCCAAATCCACCAGGAAATCTTTCAGTCAGGCACTCAGAAAGTATAGTATATTCTCTGAGGAGAAAATCAATAGTAAACACTTTATCTCATTTAAAGCTAACTTCGCTACATAAGGATACTCCCAGAGAGATACATTTCATCTTCGAACAATCCCCCCAAATACTCCAAGGAAACATGATTCAATATGAAAAGAAAAATCGCTTTGACCACATACCCTAGCTGTCATCTACCACCACACAATGGAACTTATTCAGGATATCATTAAACAATTACAACTAAGGATGTTAAAATGCAGTTAACTGACTCCTTTGAAATGTGGAACTCCACATATAGCCCAGGGCCAGCGGGAAGGAGGAATGTAGAAGTCCACGTACAGCCTGGGGCCAGCGGGAAGTCCCACGGATCGGCTATGTGGTGGCTGCCCCTTTGAAATTGCTGCCTCCACGTGTTTCAAAGGGGAAGTGGAGCCTGGGGTCAGCTGGGGACTCCTCAACTAATCCCGGACTCCCCGTGGCATTTCCCTGGAACCCAGGGTCAACCAGGGAGTTCCCAGCTGATTCCAGGTACTGTGGAAATGCCATGGGGAGCCCAGGGTCAGCTGGGAGTCCCCAGCTGACTCCAGGCTCCACAGCTGCCCCTTTGAATCACGCAGAGGCAGCCACCGCACAGCTGATGTGCCTCTATCTCAATGAGACAGCAAAGGGGGAGGGGGAAGAGACTGACTAGTCAACTAGTCAAAAGACTATCCGATAAGCAAATGCTTATCAGACAGTCGAATAGTCTTTAACATCCCTAGTTACAACCCATACTCAATGGGGGCTAACTGCAAAAGGCTAGAAACCTATGTAGATTTTTCACTAAGGATGCAAGCTTGCTCCAAGAGCTTACTCATGGCACCCTGAAAGAAATCTTGGCTGAACCCCACTTCTGGCCTTCAACTTCATCATCAGAAGCAAGCTCCACACAGACTGGGACACACCAATTCAAAGTGGAACTAGATCTTGTTGTAACAACAGATGTAAAATACACAGACATATCTCCACTGCTATGATTATCAATATACCTTTCAAGAACCACGAGTCCTAGACATGCCTATTATAACAAGCTGGTTCTTCATCCAGTGCACTAACTGCCCTTATGACAACAATGTGAGTAAAACCAGACAATTGCTATGATCTTGAATGAATTCATACAGACAAATGATAAAAACAGAAACATCTTATCGGCAATGGGTGAACACCCTTCACAAAACAATCACTCCATATCTGACCTGTCGGTCCTCATCCTCAAAGGAAACCTGCAAAGTACTTTCAAAATACAAGCTTAAATTCATACCTCTGCTAGACACTAAAAATCATGGATTTAATAAAGTCATTGAATGTATGGATTGTTACAACAAATCTATAACCTGCTAAAAAAATTTTTGGCCTAGGACTACAGAAGTGCTAATAGGCCACTTCACCTTGAATGTGTGTTAACCACGACACTAAACAATCTGTTCCACACGGTATTTAACTGCAACACTGTGAGTACCTTTCCCAGATCTGAAGAATAGCTCTGTATAAGCTCAAAATCTTGTCTTTCGCCAACAAAAGTTGGTCCAATAAAATAAAATATTATCTCACCTACCTTGTCTCTTTAAAAAAAACACATTCCATCTTTAGCAGTAAACATACTTGCATGGTTTCAATACATCTAGCCTTTTTTAGTCAAACTGATTTCCAGATTCTATAAAATCATGTCTAAGAAGCTTTGCTAAAGCTCAATACTCTAGTTAGTTAAGAGTATACACTAATTAAAAGCACTAGGGTCTTAGAACAATGACTTTCTAAATCCAAGAATTTTAAGTGTCACTTTCACTGTCCCTAATGAAGCCAAAGGTGAAATCCAAAGATTAAGGAATGAATGTTTACCTCTCCAGAGCCAAGATAAAATACAGTTTTCCAACATAACCTACAATTGTAATAAACAAAAGCTTTGAAAAAACTTTTTATAATTCCAGCTAATCCCATAGATGGTGAGTTTTTCCTAAATCCAACAATTATTTCAGAATAAGCATGAAAAGGGGCCAAAATACAAAGTGAAAAATGTCAAATATTCAAACACAGACATAAAAGACAGATTTTTTAAATTGTAGAACAAGCATTACCTCTTCTGCACATGTTCTGCATCCTCTTTGTCTAAAGTTAACAGGAAGTAAAGAAGACTATAACAACAAGAGGCTAGAAACTTGTACAGATTTTCACTAAGGACGCAAGCTTGATCCAGGAGCTTACTCATGGCACACAAAATAGATCCAGCTGTGCTATCAGGTATTACAGCCAGTCCAACCTACGAGACAAAACAAGTTCATTATCTCTCACACAAGCAGTCTTTTATTGGCATACAAACATGGCTAGAGTGGAACATTTCTCTTCTATAATATTGCAAAAAAAAATCACTTACCCTTCTATTCAAATTAATACATTCAATAACTTTTGCCCTCATTTTCCCTTGGGAAACAACTCCTCTGTTAAACTGAAGGTCGAAAATTAATATAAATCCAAATTTCCAGTAATAATAAAGTAAAATATGCCAAATAGCAATGCCACTTTTATTATACTTAAACAATTATTCAAGCTCAAGGTAAGGATTTAAAAACAAAGATGTTTGGAAAAACAAAAGCAATGGCCACCTGGCATTGCTTTTCTTGGCTGGGGATAGAAGAGTTCTCCATGTTTCACAAGCAGCTCCATTTTTCTTCCACTTGAAATTTCCAAATCCAAAAGCTCTGTATCACAGCCACTACTTCCATCAAGGTCTAGACAGGTCTCACTTGGACCCCTCTGCACTGCTGCCTAATGCAGAAAGGTCACTTCTGAGCACAGAACCTACACCACACGCACACAAAAATATTTTTGCAGTGTTCCCAGCCTACAAAGTAAAATAACAGGATCCAAATTTAAGAGCACTAATCTGGGGTAAGTCTGATCTATAATGCTTTGAGATGTTTCATTTGAGGGCACCAGTAAAGAGCAGATACATATTTCCTTCACTACACATATCTATACAGCCATATAGAATCTTAATATTCTTAATCAGTAATTATAATAGTGTTTATATCATCTTCTAATATCCCATGACCACTGTCAACATGAAGGGATAGCAAGCATGTAGCCCAAACAACAGGAAAGGGAAAGATCACACCCAGTGCTCATCTCAAATGTATCTAAAAAAGAAACTAAACTTTGAGCCTTACTCCAAAGGGCACCACACATGCAGGAAGAGCAATCTAGACAGACCAGTCTGTCAGCTCTCCTTCTTTATATCATGGGACAGAGAGCAGACCCCTCACTCCTCAAAACTGTAATGAAGGGTCACAGGAAAAGGGGTGACCTTTTTAGTTGGTCTTTTTACAAAAGTAAGGGACCTAGTCTAGTGGATAAGCAATGGAACTTCTCACCTGCTTAAACATAAGCATGTACTCAAGTGCTTCACTACATTGGAGCCATGGGTACAACTGAAATTGATGAACATTGTACAATGAGCCCCAGCTTCTTGAACTAATCATTCCTGCACTGTCATACCAAGAGTATTCAGGTTGCACCGCTATAAATCAGGACACTCTGGTCTAGCATCAGGAAGTGGGGAGGTGGCAGGGCAAGGGGTGGGGCTGGCAGCAGGGGGGCCAGAAATGACCCCTCTCGGTCTGGCAAAATCCCTCATCTGGGATCAGTCAGGTCCCGAGGATGCTGGACCAAGGAGGTGCAACCTGTATCTTGAAGATAAGCAAAGATTTGCATAGGCAGAAAAGATAAATAGAAGGCTGAAAACCACTATTTCCTGCTCTTTATTTTATAGAAATGGTAGATTAAAGAGAGAGTTCTGAAATGTCATTCTGGTGCTGGAAACTTTATTGTACTATACTTGACTATTAAAAAAAAATGTTGATAAATATCACACACTGGTCATCAATACTAATGAAACACTGTTTATTTGAATATAAAACCAGTTTTCAATGAGTTAGACTAAACAAGCTTGCAACAAATAGTTCTACTTTTAAAACAACCTTTTGGAAATTCACTTATGATGTGGGATGATGTTTATATTTCCAGTTTTGAATAGAGGTAAAAATTTTTAGCACTGCTAGTTTTATTAATTTTCCTATAGAAATAGAGAATATGATTTTGTGAATGTAATTAGTCAGTAGGTGGGTGAAAAGAAGCATAAAAATTTCAAATTTCTGGTAGGAATACCGCATTTACAATAATGGAGGATAAATGTTCTTGTTGGAATATTAGGGGTTAAATGATTGCTTGGAAAACTGCAAATAACTAAATGCATTCAAACATACTAAAACAAAAGTGGCATTAATTCATAAATCCTGTTTAAAGTAAGATTTTGAAAAAAAAATGAAGAGAGAATAGTTTATTTACACAGCTCAGCAAGAAAGACAAAAAGGTATTGTTTTGGCAAATAAAACGTTATATTTTCTTCTCATATCGCTGACCCACAAAATAGATTTAAAAGGGAAGTTGAATAATCATCCCCATCTACTGCATATGGCCCAAAGAACTCTCAACTCTGTGAAAATCTAACAAAGGAACTAATCCTGCAATACAATAGATCACAGATAATTTAACATCCTAACTCGTGTACAGAAGACAGTTATTTCTAGATTCTAAGCCCAGAAGGTCCATTATGACGCTCTGAATAGCACAAGCCACAGAATATCACCCGATTTCTGCATCAAGTCCATCCCTTCTGATTCCGCTAAAGTAGAGGTTCTCAAACTTTCTAATGTCACTCAAATATGGCCTGGCTGCCCCCCGTTATCCCAGATCATAGGTGTGCGCAGCACATTTCATTAGGGTGTCATGTCTCCTCCCCTTGCTCCATCAGCATCCCATGTGCCTGCTCCCCCCCGCAACCTCTCACCCTCCTCTGCTGTCCTGACTCCTGCCCTTCTCACTGCCCTCAGCATTCCTGTTTGTTTTTTCTTCCCCTACCCCGCCC